ACCTGTACTCCCCTTGCCCTCGGGACGCTGTAGACGCCAGCGCAGCTGGTAGATGCTAGAGGACGCTTGCAGCCGCTAGATCGATATCTACACTTTCCTAGTCGCTGACGCTGCCAGACGCTCGGGACGCTGGTGGACGCTGCCGCAAAGTATGAACGCGGCCTAACGACCTAACGAGCGTCACCATGAGGCCGTGACAGTGACTATTCCACACAAGCCATTTAGCTCAACCTTTGGGATGCGGGTAGTAGACTACTGTACACATTTGTGATCGCATTCCTATGTGAGAAACCCGATATTTCCACTGTACTTACCTGAGAGAGGCTTTTTGGTAAAAGAATCCAGCTTTTTGGTATAAGAATCTGAGCCACTTCTGCTCTTCACCCCAACTGAGCTACTTCTGCTCTTCATGACGATACGTTGATGGAGCTCTATTCTGGAACACGAACAGTTCTGAACAGAAGTGAAGGGCACTCATCTTGTTTTGTGAAACAGCGGTAACTACTTTCCTGAGTATCCCAGACCTGAGCAGATTGGGAACTAACTCACCTTTCTTCTGTCGAGCGCGGTTACTAATGAGACGAACTCACAAGCCGTAAATGATAGTAAGTCCACTGATAAGCTTCCACTGGGGTTTCACTTTCCTTTCTCTTCCTTTCAATAGCTGCAAGTTCGTCCTTTTCTGCGTCATGTTTATGTTAAGAGCAAGTGTGCCCCTGCAGCTGCGATCCTACTGCCTTCTGGAATGGCAAATGCTACTACGCGGCCGTAGATGTCACCCTTACGTGGCCTTGCATACCGTGTCCTGGTCTGGACAGCTCGTCCACAACCTCTTGATTGTCGTCACTGATCGCGCGTCTTTGGCAGGACTTGTCAGCCCATAACTTTAATCGTCAATTAGTTGTGAGTGCTTCATACTCTAATGGTGTCATCTCCCCTCTGCGCCTCCTCTCCGCTTTCATTAAAGTGGGAAGAATTGAGGAAAACCGCCGAACTGTGCAGTCTGCTTTCGCAAGCAAGCTCCAGGGCGTTCTCGCCAATCCGTATGACCGACGGTTGATGGACGTTGAGTGTCGCCTATCACTGCGGCGCAGTTCGGCGACGGGGGGGGGGCATTTTGCACTTTCATTGCTCCACTGGTTCCTGTTTGCATTCTTTAGCGCTGATGAAACCTGTGAACTCCTGTGAAGCTAGAGCAGCCTCATCGAGCCATAATGGTGAAACCTGTGAACTAATGAAAAGGCTCCCCAGATAGGTCGACAGGTCGATGGGAAGCAACAGTAGTGCAAAATGCCCCCCCCCTCGCCGAACAGCGTCCACTGTATCTACTGGTCCAACAATGTGTCGGTGGTAATCCAGTAAAGTGCTCCCGACGGGTCGAATCCCACAGAAAAGATAACTTTTTTTCGTCATGCCCCAGCTGCATGTATTGGTGAACGGGTATGTCACAGCAAGAAACCCCTGCATAGCGTCTGAATAGTGAGAGGATTCAGCTTATGCGAGCTATGATCTAGCGCGTGCGTCATGCGGCCACGGGAATAGGAGGCGTATGACTGCGCATGGGTGTCACGCACTCTAAACGTGTTGAACAGGATAAGAGATGTCCTACATCAGACCAAGTAGCTTTCGACTGGTTCTGAGAAATTTTGATGAGACTCTGAGTATTTGCTGGAGATATTACACTTTCCCGAAATCGAACAACTTTCCCAATCAGACAGATAATACAAATCGTACAATTTCTTTGACAAAACTTTATTAAAATTATTGAGAAATTCTTCGGTGATTACCGTTTCATGAAACAACAACTAAATGGTTAATAGCCGACGGCATAGTTAAAATCAGGATCCCGGTCATCTGTAGCGGCAACTAAAGCACTGTTTGCTGAACGTCGTTTGATAGCCATGACGATACGATCTTGAGCCTCCAGATCTCTAGGCGGTGTCGTCGTACAGCCTGGTCCATGCTGGAAAGACAGAACGTTTTCATGACGCTATCATCTGCATACACTATATATCCTCAAGGTGGAGAGGGCGTGGCCGCGCACCATTATTTGAAGGCGGCTGCGCATCTGGTAGAACATACTTGTTTTGATACAACTGTACTAATTTCCTTGGCCACATGATGATAGCTGCATCAAACAGAGACCAACATACGTCATAATCTAATGAAGCATGCTGCCACGCCCTCCCCATCACCGAGAAATGAGGTTTATCTTCGCTCACCTGGCAACCTTTATCACAGTAGCAGTGTCCGTCGCGGTAATCGTGGTAGAGTGATGATGCGCAAGCGGCTGTTCCTGGATCCTCGTCCAGCCATAGCATACGAAGAATAACAGTGGCCACAGCTTCCACCGTACGCAGTGAACCAGATGCCGTTGCCGCCATGTAGAGCTGAAAGAGGGGATGTTACCTTCTTATTTCGAAATATCATAAATATCAATGCCCATTTTTCCGAAAATGGCGGTGTCTGTACGGTCCCAAAAATCCATCTTCTAGTAGGTAGTCGGCCTCCCTTTCCCAATCCCACTGCAGTTTACCCGGATTCTCCCAACCTCACAGATCTGCCATTTTTTTACCGAATTCAACTATCAGAATTAGTGTTGCTACAGTCCAATAGTGTTAGAGTCTCCGTTACCAACAAGAAGTAGGGATCGTCTGGAGAGCCTCCCTCCTCAAAGCTAAATGCCACCCCTATCGATCAAATGCGACATCCTTCCCGGCCACCAGCTTAGCACATCCTTCTGATGGGATTCTCCCAACAATACTAGGTCCTGGTTGGTAATCAATAGCAGCCCCCCTCCCCCTCCCTACCGTGGCGGTTCGATCTGCTTCTTTTCCACACGCTGCATTTAATATTGTCCATATGGGCACGAGCTACTAGCGAACACACTCGGAGTTTAGTGACCTGCAACGGTGCTCCATCCCACTTCTTTCGCATTATAAGCACACCGGCCGAAGAAGAAACCGGACGACTTTTCACTGTATCGTTTGCTCCATAAAATGACGAAATGGTGTTCGAGCCAAACCTGAACAGTGAAAAAGTTAGTATGGCTGGAAATTCGTTGACCCCCCAACCTCAGCTAGCCAAGTGGAATGCTGCTAGGCAGCGACTTGTACACGACCCCATTAGTGGAGGCTTCACAGACAGAGCGTTCCTGGCGCTGTTCGGCTCAGGGGAGAGGCCTTTCTTTACACCGCCACGCTTTTTTAGCAACTGCTGCTGAATTATACATCTCACTTTGGTAAGACCCGTTAACTCTCGCCAAGTATGAACGAAGCTCGTGCTCCTGCATAGCTTCCCAAGAGTTTGCAGGTCTCCCCAGGAGGCGGCGGCAATGATCGAGGAACCAGCAAGACCCCCAACGAATCCAACTGCGCCGTGTATCTTGCATGTTGTAGTAGGTGCTAATAGGGCGAGATAGCTAAACTCCTTGACGACTAGATGATGTAATCGGTCCGCCACACTCCGTGTCAACCTCTTTCTGCCCTAGCTACTAGTTATAGGCGGAAGCAACCACTCCCCCCCTTGGCCCTCCACCTAACATTTTTCCGAACTGCAATTATCCCAGATCCCTACCGATTTTTCCACTCCGAAACGAATATATGGAAATTTTCCCCCTTTCTTCTCGGGTTGTGATAGCAATGATAACTCACGGTCGAGCTAAGCCTAGGTTCAGCATCATGAAATAATCGCTTTCGTTTCTGTGCCAGTATATAATAGATGTAACTCTATCAGGATTGTGCTGAAAGATTAGAAGTGTACGGTTTGATGGAAAACTCTATCGAAGCCATCGAACTGAGGCGTAACGGATGGCGCACCGGCGGGCAACGGGACATGGGGGTTCAAGGCACCGACCTGGTATGACTTGACCAGATCATAAAAGCTCAGTTCATTGGTACTAGACAGGCCATCGTCTGCAATCCAAAGAGCGTCAGGTGAGGTCCTTTTAGGATGGTGCACGATAGGGTACGTTATCGGGCACAACTGATATTGGTAGATAATCACTCAGGGCGGTGAAAGTGTGCATGGAGCCCACCTGCAGCGTTTCCTACCACTGGTTCTATTTTTCCTGAATTCATCTTTTTTAGTAGAAGTCGCGGTGGGAGGTGGGCTCGCTCCAGCTCTCCTGGCACCGCCTGGACCGATTGCTATGAAGCAATGCGCCCTAATCGCCTGAATAGGGGGGGGGGGGGTGGAGCGCTAAGCGCTAATCAGTAATCAGCTTTAATCGTGAGTAAGAGGGGAGTGAAACAGAGAAGCTAAGTCGCTAAGAAGTCTAGTAGTAATGAAAAAAGCAAAAAGAGGCATGTCGATGCGGCTTAATACGACACCTTCGGTGGTGATTCATAGAATGATAGCATAAGGAGGGTCTGTGATCGGCCGTCGATCACCATTTTCGGTCGATATGTCGCGGCAGTTGGTCTCAGCTGGTTTTTTTTTTTGTTTAACAACAACATACCGCGTACGTTCTATGGAGAGTATCCTGTTCTTAGGCCGGGTCGCAGACCGCAGACCAGTCCCCATGCTCGCGGTGAGACTTTTCAGCCCATCGCGTAGCGTACCTTTGATGTTTTCTTGACTGCGCCCTTCACCTTATAGGTACAGACCTTAGCTTCTGGTTAAGCCGAGCGTGAGCAGTACTCACCCTTCTGACGCGATTCGCGTATTTATCATCAGTATTGTCATAGAGGAGACGTGAAGCATTTATGAGCATAGTCTCGCTCAATAGTGAGTCCTTCTGAAACAATGGACATACGTAAACACTCCATATCCCAGAGATGGGGAGTCTGTGATTGCGTACTTCATATAAACATGGTGGCAGCTGCGCACTGGAGGGATATTGCAATTTCAGAACAATTGCAGTCATGACTGCGCCCATTACAAGTGAGGACAACACCATTATCAAATGGAAATGTCCTACGAACAGCGAATCCTACACCATGTTCAAGTAAAGTACGCAGCCACGCCCACTCCATCGCTGGGATCTGCAGTGTAAAAGCCGTATAATTACCGCATGAAATGCTATCGAAACTTCAGAAATTATTAGTTGTTGAAGGAAAAAGGATGAATACTCACTTGTTCGTCGCCATCCCATTCCCACGATTGTTCGAATAAGTTGTAGGCAAGACGTTGAGATCGTAGCATGACGTCATATAATGTCGCCTCATTGCGCGAATCAAGTTCATACATTACACCTTAAAATACGGCTTCGTTATTCAGAGATAGCGGATAATTCAATTTGCGGCCATTGTAAGGGCGGCGTCAGGCGAACCCTCTACTTCCCTACTTCTCCCTCGCTCTTCGAATCAGCCAGGTGAACGCACCCGAAAGGTGAGCTATTTGCGAGCCTTTCTGAGGCTGCGTTTATACTTTGCGGCAGCGTACGCCAGCGTACGCTAGCGTTTCCAGCGTTCGGCAGCGGCAGTGGCAAGGGAAGGATGGATATCGATCTAGCGTCACCAGCGTACGCTAGCGTAACGCTAGAGTACTCTAGCGTAGCGAGGGCAAGGAAAGCATAGGTATCGATCTAGCGTTTTCAGCGTTTCACCAGCGTTTCACTAGCGTTTCGCTAGCGTTTGCAGCGGCGGGGAGTAGAGACTATGGGACGGTAAGGCAGCGTTCAGACTTGTAGCGCTACGTCGCGCTAC